TTCTAAAGGATTTCAGCTCCGTGCAGAGCTGAAATCCTTCAGCAGACAGCTTTTTCGCTCCGTGCAGAGCTGAAATCCTTCAGCAGACAGCTTTTTCGGTCCGTTTGCTTAATGACTTGGAAGATCACTTAATGACCACAACCAAGAGTGCCTAGATTGCAGTCATTGAGCGAAGCAGTCACGTGGGCATTTTGCTTAACAACTTTTGCTCAATGACTGAGATTTTGGTCCCAATTGTGGTTGTTATGCAAGGACTACCTGTATTTGCTTTCATCCATATACATGAATGACTGCCTCTGACGTCTTCTGAAACCTCGCGAGAAGGCTGCATCCACTGTTCTCGTGGTGCTTCGGAAAGCCTTCGAAAGGTTTCTGAGGCTTTCCGAAGCATCATGAGAACGGCGCACACGATTTGGAGAATGGCCTCAGGAAGAAGGTCTGGTGCAGCAAGCAGCTGCCTTGCATAAGGCCAGGCTGGGTGCGCCTCAGCAGCAGTGGAAGAAAGAAGGTGAAGGTCAGCTGGGAGTGGCAGGGCTTGCAGAGCACAAGGTAACGGGGAGTCTGGGGGCTTGTACTATGGTGCTGGGGTGACTGGCCACAGCATAGGGCTTGAGGGATCATTTGGCAGTGGCACTGGAGCTGCAATTGCTGAAGGCCCTGGGCTTCTACTTCAGTCCCAGTGCTGCCACTGAGGAGTACCACTGTGCAGGCAGGCCAAAAGGGCAGAAATGGGGGGGAAATAGGTGGGTGGGGGGCGTTGAAGTGCCATTATGGTCATAAGTGCTGCCAAGTGCCTGAATTTTGATCATGTGACCGTGAGGATGCTACAAGAGCTGTAACTTTAGGGACTGGGCATAAATACCATTTTTAGCGCTGCCATAACTTCACATGGTCATTGAAAGAATAGTCGTTAAGCAAGGACTACCTGTAATGAATTCACCACCGTTATGCCAAAAGACACACTGCCAAGTGCCTCCAAGCCTCACCATCACCGCCAGCTCCGGTGCTGCTGCCACTCTGCTAGCCACTGAACAGCTGATCAATGTACCAGGTATTCCTTTGCAACCCATGATTTATTTATTTATTAAATTTATGTGCTGATTTTTCATTTATCAATGCAGGCCTGCTCTAAACTATTAGAAGGCAATGTAAGGAAAACAATGAGCAGTATGGCTACTTAAGACATTTTGCAGTTTCTGCATTGGATGGGAAGAACAGGAGAGAAATATATCTTTTAGAAAAGTTGCTAGTATTTTCTAAAACAAGAGCCACTTTCCCAAATGAAACAACGAGACTGCTGTTGTACTGACTTGTCTCCTAGCCTAGTGTTTATTTATATTTCTGTATGTCAGAGATCAATTATCCAAAATAAAAATCACCTAAGATACACAGACTACAAGAAAGAGAGAAAAGAAATAAAATTTATATTTAATCATTAATTGTTAGCTATTAATTAATCAGCAATGAAATTGGCTATACCACTGTATCATTGCCTAATACCAACTGCTTTCTTCAGGGAAGCATCAGAGCTAAACAAGTAATCCCTTATAGAAGTTGAACAAAACTTGGCAACCATTCTAGAGTTTATGCTGACAGGCCAGTAAATAGGAAGATTACATTTTCCTCATCTAATCAACTTGGATGGTCAGGGTGCCATGTTTAATAGATGTGACACCAAAATAAGACATGAGAAACAGAGTCAGCTGCCCTCATTGGAAAAGGGCAAAGCCAGTCTGTAAGTGAATGTTATAAAACATACCTATTTCACACAGGAGCGATTTTTAAGATAACTATCCAGGGTGAAACAAAGCCACCATTAAAATAATATGAAGAAACACTCCAATCTTTCTGAAAATCAAGATCATGGATTCACTGTTTTTCATTCTAGGTTAGTGAACAAGAAAGACAGCTATTGGGCTGAGAGGCCACAGTATCCTATTTCTCATCAATCTCTTCTTTTCCAGGAAGATACATCATTTTCAAGGATTTGAGGTCAAGATTTCCTTTATAAGAACCAGTTTTAACCAAAACTTTAGGCAAGACACTCTCAGTCAAGCCTCAGTCATAACAAATCCAAGCACAGAAGAGCATTAATGACATACTGAAGAACTCAAAAATCAGAGCTTATGATCTACATGAACTACTTCCAAAATCTTAAATCTTTACAGCTTCAGATCTGCAAATGATAAAGTAGAAGATTCAGAAACTTCATTTTAAATAGATTTAAAACAACAAGGACATAATTATTGCCACTGCTGCTGCTGATGTGGAGGTTTGTATCAGCTGTTTTATGGAACCAAACAAAGCATCCTTTGTTTCTTCAAAGAGAAGGAAGAATGAAAAATAACTCCTACATATTTGAAATGTTTAGCTTGTTCTATAGTGATGCTTTCTTTGTCCAACTATGGCTACAATTCACATGCCTTTTAGTAAAGAAAACCACTTTCGTTTTGGAATAGTTAAAGATCAGTTTTTTTAAACTATAACAATGAACAAGATCTTCAAAATTTCACCTAGTATTCTTAGCCTAATCCATTTTATAAAGTAGTCAAAATATGCTTTGTAATATGTGTTAGTGTTTGGTAGTTCCAGCATTGTCTATACATGTAGGGTTACTGACACTGGAAACAGCATTTGAAGTAGCAATACAAGCCTTGCTAGAAACATGGCTGTTTTAAAACTTCAAAAAGAGATGCTTCATTTCAATTCAATACTAAGCTTCATTTGCAATATATATTTTTTCTTTATTCCTAATCATAATGTATGGCTACAGTTGCTTCCTCTTATTCCTCCTCATTTTGAATTCAAATCCAGATATATTAGCCTAGTTTGTCCACCATAGTATGCCACAGTTGAACCACAGTTTATTAAATATATCACAATAGAAAAGTTTGAATGCAATAATCCAGCATCAAAGCACACTATGATTTATGAATCTGTATAGGTATACCCAATCACTGATTACAAATCTATGGAGCAAGTGTGCTATCATAGAAGAGTGTGAAAACACAGTGGATATGAATTCTTACCACTTTCAACCATTTTTTGTTGTCCATGGGCAGGACTGTTTGGCTCACTAGTGATAGGTAGCCCTTTATTCAGAGTTGAAGATACAGGTGACTCATCAGCATGGCTCTGATACATCAATTGTCTCTGATGCAACCTAAATACAAATATTAGAATAACTTTATTTCATTACCTTAAGAATACCAGAACAGAGTCTCTAAAATATATGTACAAATCAACTTCTCTGATTTTAACAGCTGATTCTTATGAATCAGGTCTGCTTTAGTTTGAATTTAAAGATGTCAACATTAAACAAGTTAACATGATTATATTAAAATTTCCCACAAAAGATAAAATCCCCACCTTTGCTTATGTAATATTTTTTCCAGTTTGGCATCCTCTGCTGTTTGGAGTCCAAACATAGTAGTAAGAGGACAAACACTGGCCAGATATTGTACTAACTGAATGTGCTGGCCTGGTCGGAATGATCTTCCCTTTCCTTGACTGTAAAGCCATTCTGCTTTCAAGCTACAGGGGAAGAAGTAGTTATTATCAGAAATATTATTTGTACTAAACATTTTATAAAGTCCTTTCTATTTGAAATATACAAAGCATACAAAATAGCAATTGAAATCTGGAAGAAATAGATGTAACTCAGAAGCAACAGCAGAAAAATAATCAACTGTTGGAATACCATAATAAACTGGAAGAAAGCCATAATTCTCATAAACTCCTAACCTCCAAAATAAACTATTTCAGCTATATACTCAGTTTCCAGACTCTACTTTTATCTTCAGGGGTATGTAATTAAAATCAGAACTTGAAGTACAGTAACTTAACCTTGGAATTTTTAGACTTAAACATACATAAATTGAAACCAATAAATATATTTACTTAAAAGTAACTAGAACTATTCCATATAGAACAAATAGACGTGAAGCAGTTTCCACAACTTTGTTCCTTATATCTACTTTCTATTAATTCTGTTCAGTAATTAATCTAACACTTTTTCACACAGAGGTCCTGCAGACATTCTACTTTATCTCATATCTTTCTTCCATGTCCGTTTTGTTCAAAGTTCAGCCCTTGACACTACTAAAAATGGCCTGCCCTGCATTTAGATAAATCCTAATTATCCTTTTATCCCTCACTAATGCTTTCAGTCCTTCATCATAAACCAAAAAATCAATCATGCTTTTAGATTAATGACTTATACCATGCATCTGAAAATAATTAACCAAACAATAACCATCCTCATTTATTCTTGAGTCTGACTGGCCACACTGAATTACTTTTTCTGTACCTTCTGTCTCATTCCCCACTCCTTTCCATTCTTGTCACCTAACACAATAACTATTCTACCAAAATTGCATTAATTCAGAAAACGATACAATTTTTCCCAAAACTCATCTCTGGTTCTTTCATTATCAGTATTCACTGGTGAATATATACTGCTACATCAAATATAAACAAGGAAGAAATTAATTGATTTTAGTATAATACAGCTTTTCCTAAGATTATACTCAATCAATTCTATCCAACATTCCATCATGCTCCTTGGATCCAAAATTTTCGGACATTCTACTGTTACACCAATCTATGATTCAAATGAAGCAGTAGAATAAAAGGTAAACAGTAAGTTTAACATACTGTATTATATTGCCTTGACTGAGGACAAGACCAAAGCATTTGTCTTTAGAAATATATCCCAAACCCTTCCCCCACAATACCTCAGTATCCCCATAATTAGATCTGCTAAACTACTTTTATTCTGATTATCTTGAAAGATTTCATATACAATAGTTATTTGCTAAATAGTAGTAGTAGTAGTAGTAATAATAATAATAATAATAATACTGCAAGAAGATCGCACAGACTAATTACAAGCAATGGCATGAGCATTGCTTGTAATTAGTAGTAAGTAGCAACAATGGTTCACTGGAATATCTGCAAGAAATACCACTTGCCTGCAAGCAATAATGGTAGGACCACAAAATAGGGAAAATAACAGAAAATGAAGAAGCTAAAGTACTCTGGGACTTTAGAATTCAAACAGACAAGCATCTGCCACACAACACCCCAGACTTAATAACTGTTGATAAGAAAGACAAAAAAGTCTGTATAGTGGACATTGTAATACCTAGAGACAGCAGAATAAAAGAGAAAGAACTGGAGAAAATCACAAAATATAAAGACCTGCAAAT